GCTTTTAAACAACAGAAAAAGAAACCCGGGTTACAACTTAACCCTGGGTTAGCGCTTATCTAATGTGATTCAGGTAATAGATTCAAGTAGAAAAATCCTCGCAGGAATTTTCAATAAAAAACGCTTCACCTTATTTACTTAGTGTCTTGTTTCCTGTGTGATTTTTTCCCGATCCATTGCGATTGAAACGATTTCCTTCGATCAGGCGTTTTGTTTTGTTTTGTTTTTTCTTTCGGGGAAAGGGGAAAAACGACGGAAGTCAATACGTTCCTTTTAACCAATCGGTGCTCGGCTCGAAAGGCTCCTTTTTTTCGACCAATCAGACAAAAGTCCGGATCCTGGACCACAGGCAGGCGACGCGGAAAGTAATGCAGGCGTCCTTTTACCCTCGCCTCCAAAACAAAGAGGGAAGAATGACCGGCTGATCGCAGGTTGCGTCGACCTGTTTCGTTACTATGTTATTTCCTCAGAAGATAAACGAAATAAAACTGGCCTGTTTCACAAAAATTTTGCATAAATGAATAAAAAAGTCGTGGATGAGAGTAAGCACGGACGTCAACATAAAGAAGCGATACAGGCAGCCGTTACCTGAGCAGTCTAAAAGGTTATTTTCGGGCTCCGGGATTTGACCCGAAATATGTAGAGCGCGATTCGGGAAAACGCAAATTTATTGACGAGATTTAACTGTACCCCGGGAGGTGGCATGGGATTCGCCAAAATCTGGGCACGGGATGTGATATTGGGAAAGAAAACAGTATTCGGGATAGGGATGGCAGAGGTTCGGGATGCGGAATTGTCATGAAAAAAGGAGCTGGAATGTGGGATCAGACTCCTCCCCCCTTCCCCCTTCTAGACCCTGTTATCTATGAGCTTACTAGAAACCGCCTAGCTCGTGGTACAAATGATATTCGATATTCACAATGACTGGTAGACCACCTCGCCAGGGAAGCGTTCACTACTCTTTTAAATCATTAGGGTCGGTTCTTTTACGTCCCAACGGGTAACAAAAACTTGCAACTTGCTTTGCAGCCGCTGATAAACAAATTGATTGCCGCCCCCCTTCTCATGCATGTATTTCTTGAAAGCGGTCAGTAATAGCTTTTCTATAACATATTCAGCTCTAGATAATTATTTTCATCGGCTCTCTATAAGGCACACACCTCCCTAAAACGGACACCAAGAGTTGGTTCCTTCCGTTCTTCAATTATTTCCTTCGACTCTCTATAAGGCAGACACCTGCTTAAAACGGACACCTAGAGTTGGTACCTGCTGTTCTACAATTTTTCCTTTGATTCTCTATAAGGCAGACACCAGCGTTGGTCCTTTTTGTTCTTTAGTGGTTTCCTTTTACTCTCTATAAGATGGACACCTCCTTAAAACGGAAACCTAACCCTTAAAACGGTAGATATAGGCATATTTTTATCGCCTAAAAAGTTTTCATCTGTTCGGATTTCTTAGCTGAAAGTCTAGTGATCCGAAAGTTATAGGAATCAAAACTTACCTTTCCGAAAATTTCAGCCAGAAAAAAGGCTCCCGAAAATTCTAAGTGACCTTTTTAGGGTAAAATCCGTTAAAAACCGGCAATTTTACCATTTTTTAGATGCTCGAAAATCCTAGGAGAGGCAGGCAAGCAAGACTGTACAACAAATGTTCCGAAAATTCTAAATCTCAAATCGTCCTCCGACTGAGATACTTTCCGAAAATTGACGTTGGGTGACCCTGTTCATTGTTTCTCTGTGCCAAGATGAACATCTCTTCATCACTCTTTGCATTTCGTTTCACGCCTGGTCATGAGTTTTCATCGTACAACCACCTCGATCACTTCTTTGTATTAATTTTTAAGGGAATCTGTGTGGGAAATTCCCTTACCGTTACCATTTCAACGAAATCTCTAGGGCAACTTTTCACTTTTGCAAGGTACTTTAATTCAGTGTCAGTAGAGAAAATCCTCCCCTACCGGTTATACTCGATCGTCAAAAGCACTTGGTTTGTCTTTAATCCAAACGACTTGAAAACGTAAAATTTTGAGCAAGAAGGCCTTAAAAGAATTGATTTAAATTGCAAATAATTTTTGAATTAATATTCAATTATTCATAGTTTTCTCGCACGTTTACAGTAGGAAGAAAATGGCGAACTAAAGAAAATTCTTGTACCGTTATTAGCCTTCTTAAAACAAAATAACTTTCGTATCATTATGGCTGTAACTGAAAACCGCCCATGAGATGTTTAAAAGTGGTACAACGACTACAGCGCGGAACTGTAATCTCAGCAGAAGCTTGTCGTGATGCAGTGATATTCAACACGTGGATCTGCAACGTTAAAAGTAGAGACAGAGAAGTCGAGGTAACTGAATAATAACGGACTAAATTTCTAACTGTTTGTAGCACCAAAAGTGGCTTTTGACTCAGTACTTTGTGTCATATTGACTGTTATAGAGTTAATTCAGGTCTCCGGCGTTCGATGGGACAGTACCGGTCAGTCATTAATTAATTTAGACTTGACATGAATATTTGAACAGAAACCAAAGTCAACACCCTGAACTTGTAAAGTACATATGTACTGACTCAGGGTCGGCAAGGTTTATGATAAATATACGATATAAGTGTTTTAAAAACGGGTTAACGATATCACGACCTGAATAAGTCATGATTTTCGGTTATAGTACTGACCTTTTGGAGGTACAGTGTTTTTATGGGTTACTGTTTTAAATGCGGAACTACATGCAAAAGACTAACACATGATGCCAGCCAGGCCTAAAAGCGGAGCTCCCGCATAAGTCTTATCGTGTACTCGTAAAAACCAACTAGACTGCACTTCTTTTTGGGCATGATTGATTAAAATCTGGGAGAATTTTGGCTTTTTTCGGATGAAATGGTACATAACAATCCCAATTGGTTGACCCTGAGGTTATTTCTGTTGGATAAGAGGCTCAAACGTGTTAACACAATTCTTATGGAGGGTAACGCAGGCATTTGAGAAGGATCTTGTTGGTATCTTCAAATATTTTTGGTTGCCTTACAGAGATGTTTATGCCGTACAGTTAGCTATTTAATACGGATTCCAAAGGGACAGTATTAAGTGTGCGCCTTGCTAAGATGTCTATGTTATAGAGATAGGAAATACCGATAGCTCTTCAATACGGACTGCAAAGGGACAGTATCAAGTGTGCGCATTGCAGAGATGTCTATGTTATAGAGATAGGAAATACAGTTAGCTCCTTAATACGGACTGCAAAGGGACAGTATCAAGTGTGCGCATTGCAGAGATGTCTATGTTATAGAGATAGGAAATACAGATAGCTCTTCAATACGGACTGCAAAGGGACAGTATCAAGTGTGCGCATTGCAGAGATGTCTATGTTATAGAGATAAGAATTACAGTTAGCTCCTTAATACGGACTGCAAAGGGACAGTATCAAGTCTGCGCATTGCAGAGATGTCTATGTTATAGAGATAAGAATTACAGTTAGCTCTTCAATACGGACTGCAAAGGGACAGTATCAAGTGTGCGCATTGCAGAGATGTCTATGCTATAGAGATAAGAATTACAGTTAGCTCTTCAATACGGACTGCAAAGGGACAGTATCAAGTGTGCGCATTGCAGAGATGTCTATGTTATAGAGATAGGAAATACAGTTAGCTCTTCAATACGGACTGCAAAGGGACAGTATCAAGTGTGCGCATTGCAGAGATGTCTATGTTATAGAGATAGGAAATACAGTTAGCTCCTTAATACGGACTGCAAAGGGACAGTATCAAGTGTGCGCATTGCAGAGATGTCTATGTTATAGAGATAGGAAATACAGTTAGCTCCTTAATACGGACTGCAAAGGGACAGTATCAAGTGTGCGCATTGCAGAGATGTCTATGTTATAGAGATAGGAAATACAGTTAGCTCCTTAATACGGACTGCAAAGGGACAGTATCAAGTGTGCGCATTGCAGAGATGTCTATGTTATAGAGATAGGAAATACAGTTAGCTCCTTAATACGGACTGCAAAGGGACAGTATCAAGTGTGCGCATTGCAGAGATGTCTATGTTATAGAGATAGGAAATACAGTTAGCTCCTTAATACGGACTGCAAAGGGTACAGTATCAAGTGTGCGCATTGCAGAGATGTCTATGTTGTAAACATAAGAAATACAGTTAGCTCTTTAATCCGGATTTGAAAGGGTTAGTATCAAGCGATGTGCATTGCAGAGATGTCTATGATATAGAGATAGGGAATGCAGTTAGCTTTTTCAGTAATACAGACTACAAAGCGACAGTATCAAGCGTGCGCATTGCAGAGATGTCTATGTTACAGAGATAAGAAATACAGCTAGCTCTTTAATATGGACTCCAAAGGGACAGTATCAAGTGTGCGCATTTCAGAGATGTCTATGTTATAGATATAAGAAATACATGTACCTATTTAATACGTACTCCGACAGAAATAGAAGTCCGTGTCATAGAGTTAGAGGGTTTAGAATCTTTGGGACCAATAGACTGTCGGCAATTGAGGGGTTTTCGTGTTATAGAGGTAGAACTTGTATAGGGTTTAGTATCTTAGAGACCAACAGAGCTCTCGGCAATAGGGAGGACCAGTACTGACTCATTTCCGCAGTAGAGAGGCATCCTTTGTAATAAAGGTAGAGATTGCAAAAGTTTCAGTATCTTTGGGCCCGATAGAACTGTCCGCAATAGAGAGGAGTTCTTGTTATAGAGGTAGAGATTGTAGTTCATTATCTTTGGGCCCAATATAACTGTCTGCAAAACGTAGAAAGACGAGCATTTTCGTCTGCAGCTCAAACGAATATATATTTTTTTGACCGAAGAAGCTACACCGCGGTGTAGGACTACAAGGTCACATATTTTTAGCCTTTGTATAGTGGGCTACTTTTCTCCTCAAAGATCTTTGAAATCTACTGAGGGGGCGGAGGACGGGTTGGGATGAGGCGCCTCCCTCCTTCCCCTTCTCCCAGACCGCTGTAACCCCAACGGCCAGCCCCTCGGTATATATGAAATCAAGATGGCCGCCCACACAGCGAGAATTCGCCCTCTATGATCATACAGAAAAATTGGGGACTTTAAGCAATCCAGTCCGGAAAAAAATACGCCAGGTTTGTTGGAAAGCTAGTTATCTTAGTTTCCTTCTATTCTTCAAAACAACAGGCATGAAAATGACCGTACAAAGTGCTGTTATGGAATATGATCATGGATTGCAAGCTGGTGATCAGCGGGTGAGTACATAGTTTATTTATCTTTGTCATCAGAAAATAAGCCCTAGTTTTTAATAGTGTTAAGAATTTTCAAGGCAAATCCCCCAATAAACAGGCTCTTGTATGTTGTACTCGTGAAGTTCCCCCACCATGAAGCCAAGTTAATGTTCCTGCACACCAGGCTAGTTTCTGCAGGATAGACATCATGGAGAACGAAGACTTCTTAGTCTTTTTCATGGTACCATAGAATGAAGCTCTCAGTTACACACCTGGCGATTCTCAGAGATAATAAGTTTGATGTCGTGCATCAAGGATAATGAACCAACATCAGTCTCTTAAAAAGCCTCAGCAAGCCTCAAAGTTTACCTAATACAAACTTACAGTTTTTTATGTTAAAGAACATGGCTAGAACCAAAAATTTTTGGATGTTTTCAAAACTGATGTCACTTGTATTGAAATGACTTTGTTTTGAAACGACCAGTAACCATTCACAGGCTATGGGGTGCCATAACTTTTATATGCTATCAACAAAAAGAGGTAAATTTGTTTAATCTTTTTATAGTCAAACCAGGTGAAGCGTTCCCGTCGCTAACGAACTAATAAATTCATTAACAGAAAAATGATTTCATTTGTTGATTCAATAATCCATTCATAAAATGAACAATCCAATATTCATATTTAGCCTCGATTCCATAATCGAATGTTGATTCGATTACTGTTTTTTGAAAAACTACACATTTTTTTCTTCTTTTTTTTCGAAGAGTCGAGTGCGGACGAGTTCTGAAGTTCAAACCCAAACAAACTGCTACATGTACGCCGTTTTGCTTCCAGTAATCAGTGCATTGGACCTGATCTCTGAGAAAACACGATAGTCAAACTGAGGTCAGTGTATGTGCGGTGATTGGTGGATTTCAATCCCCAGCCTTTGTCAGTTTCTTTGTGTTTGCAGTCTGTCTCTTCTAGCTGTTATTTTGGTTAAAGGCAATTAAAAATGCAATCGTAAACGGCAGGGAAAGGGAAGCAAATACGATTGAACTCAACAGACAAGAATAAAGAACAGGTAGATTTTGTTCATAAACCAAATCAACATTTAATTATTGAATCAAGGTCCAATTTGACTGTTGGATTATTCATTTTATCAATGGATTACTGAATCAACAAACGAAATCATTTTTCCATTAATGAATTCATTAGTTTGCTAGCGACTGGAACGCTTGATCTGGTTTGACTGTAAATTTTGTTTTCTTTACAGTAATAGGGAATGACAACACGTCTCAAGCTACAACCAAGTATGGTTTATCAGGTTAGTATGAGAAATATCCCATTATTATGGTCTATAGTTACATGCCTTGGAAGTTGGACAATTTTGTTAGTCATGTGCAGTACATTTTCTGAAAGCTTTAACTCCATACCAAAATATGTGTACTTTTCTTACACTAAAACACTGAAACACTGTTTTCTAGTGACAAATGATGCAGAAACAAAACTCAGTTTCAGACCCTGGCTCCTAAATGAAAAAACCTAACGGGAAAGTAGAAGAAAAATAGAACCAAAAGGAACCCCTAGATGTTTGATCCTCGCCCCCCCCCCCTACTTGTTGGATCTACCTAGCAACTTGTAATGTTAGTGACAACCCTACATACAGTACATACATTCAAAAATAAAACTACTTGAGAAAGTTTTCTCCATCATGTCCACTGTCCTATGCAACAAAACTATTTCCAAAAGGACGCCTTTGCATAAAGAAAACCCCTTCCCCCAATTCAGTGTTGCTGGCTACAAACACCCTGGGGTCAGGCTTTCTTTTGAATACACAACATCATTGCTTTCAGGGAAAGGGGGAGAGGGAAGAACCGGTACAGCTGCGATACATGGATTTGGTTTGTTTTCATGCTATTCACAGATATCCCAATTAATTTACCTCCTGAGCTGAACCAATTTTGACAATATTCTACTCACTTTGCATATATCTTGTAATAGAAAAATAATTCACACCCTGTTGTTTCAAATTAGGTGGATTTATCTCAGAACAAAAAACTACTCTTCCCAGGAATGTTTGAAAGGCAAGATCACTGGATGTAAGGGGTAAGTAGCATAAAGTCTAAAAGTCCTTTAATGAACAAATTCACTGGTTTGTTTTGGAATTTGTTAAGATTTTCTTTCACAGCCCTCCCACTTTCCAAAACCATTCTGTAGGTTGAGGAGGAGTATGAGCTATTGTAGTACATTCTGTTCCCAGTGGCAGGTAGTAAAGCACTTTGCCATGATGAAATATTAATTTGGCTGATAAACTAATGGTTCATTTAAGGAGAACTCTATCTCTGAAGCTATATTACTCGTGTAACTTAAATTTTCATCTTTCCTTTGTTATTTTGTCCCAGGTGGTTGACATAGAAGCAAACACCATCACTGGTGTTGGTCCAGCATTAAGTGGGGTAAATCCACCCAAGAATTTTTTGAAGTCGTGAGGATAGTGATTCAAAATTTATTCAGGTATTACAATCTAGGTACCACTACTGCGATCCCAACTGCCTCTTTTTTGTAAAGCCTGACGTGTAACGATAAACTTTTGGCAACATATACTTAACACATGCTCACCGGCGATTAAATATTAAGGCATTTTTTCTAATGGAAGGAAAAGAAGGATGAAGTTGGGAGCAGAATAACGCTGAAAACCCACTGCCAATCGAATTGACACTCATCACAATACTATACTCTTGTATTTCCTTAGAAACTTTCTATGGAGTTAACGGAACAACTTAAAAAACAGGCTGTGGAAACCTGGCGTGATTGAACACCCAGCGCAGAGTGACAAAGTGAGCTGCCGTGTGTTCTTATTAAAGGTTTGTGACATTTTTTTTAAGGGGAGGCACATGGGAAAAAAGCGATTATTCTATAGTATTAATCACATTATTGTGCCTTTAGATTGCGGAGTGCATTGCCACAGGCAACGATTCAACGTTCCATGTCACTTTTGACAAGGTAAGCACCTACAAAAATTATTATTTTTGTTCCAGGGATCACTTGCGAATATCAAAACAAAACTTATTAGGTACTAACTAACCTTTAGAGAAGTGAATTTTAGAGTGAGGTCGTTTGAAAATAGAATGTGATATAAATTAGGTTACAATTTACTACCTGGTTTGGTGAAAAACAAGTGTTTTACTTATGTAAGGGCCCTGCCAGACCTCGTGCAACGAGCCTTGCTTCCTAATACTGTAGTCCTACCTACTAGATAAACCTCTTCCAAACAACACTGTTCTCAACAGGCCATTCCTGTTTGGCTCTTTAGAATGCCTTTACCTTTTCTTGTTGCCCATGTGCTTGGTCCTTGACTGATAAAGCCAATAGATGAAGTGTCTGAGAAATGTGGACATGTTTATGTTACTATTATAGGGTCATTTTTGACAGTTGAAGTTACTTTTTTCTCCAAATCCTGAGTTGCTACTTTAAGGCTAAGGTGAAGCTACAGGGGTGCACAGTATTTACCTATAATAATAATTATTCAAAGAGTTTAAAATTAGTACCTGCGACAGTGGTGAGAACAGTTCTTCATACCTAAAAACTTATAAGAAGTCACCATGCCAACCTCTTGTCAGATGCTGTGATGATTATGTTTTGTATAAGGGAAAGTTCATTTAATATGACAAGGGGGGGGGATGAAGATATTGAGGGGGGGCTCCGAAAATTTTTAGACACCCGAAGGGGGGGCTCTGAAAAAATTGTTGCGCTAGGAGGGGGGGCTCCGAAAATTTGTATACTTCAAAACCAACACATGACATCATCATACAGATCGGATGGTTTTCAACTCAACAATTTAATGACCTGTGCAACTCAGCTATATCACGTGGTTTACAGATATAACAAATGTAGTCTCAGTAATTATTACACTCTTGTTCATCCCAAAATGCTTTAGAAAATTGTATCCCAACTGTATCTCAAGTTTGTCATAGTATAAACCATTGAAGACAATAACGGTAAATATATTTAATACAGTCTAGCGATCTTTTTTCAGGGGAGCAAAGGAATTGAAGGAGGGGGGGGGCTCTGAAATTTTTTTCGACTACCAAGGAGGGGGCTCCTAAAAAATTGAACCGCTAGCGAGGGGGGCTGCTAAAATTTCAAGCTTCGAGTTTCAATATCTTCATCCCCCCCCCTTGTCATATTAAATGAACTTTCCCTAAGCATCTCAGGGGAAAGTAATAGCTCATCTATTAAAAGGCAGAAATAACACACAGTTGACTAAAATGGACAAGGAGACTTTGTCCTGCTGTTTTTCAGTCGGTTTTATTGATCAATTCTGTCAGTTAGATAATAATAATAATATTATTATTATTATTATAGTAATAATAATTATAATAATATTATAATACTAATTATTAGCTGAACACCCCTCTAAGATGGACTTTTAGACCCTTGTGCTTTTCCCAGGGGTATCCTCCTTTAGCTTAACCCTTGAAGCCTTAATAGTGATCAGCATCAAATTTCTCCTTGTAATATCAATGCTTTGTAAAACAGAGTGGTCATGAGAATTACAGACATGATCACTCAAGATGAATTTGCTTGATACAGTATTTTATAAACTTCTCACCGCTACTTCTGTAGGAAATGAATAGGGGCAACAAATGAGAATTCAAATTTTGATCTTAGGGTTAAAAGGGTTAAAAAGAGTTAATTGTATCATAGCTGAACCTAGTTTTTGTCTCCATTTAGATGAATATCCTGAAATGGTATTTAAAAATAATATTGGAGTATGGCAAACACCTGCAAGAATGTACAGGTAATTTAGCTATAAAATTTGCATTTTTTCTTTTCTTGATCATCACCAATCAGGCAATGTGTTGATGTAGTTTTTTTATTTATTAAATTTACAACTACAGTCGAAGTTGGGTGGAAGACTGTCTTTTATGCAAAATGTTTATCAATCTTCCAACTTCAGTTAATTAGTTCTATGTTTTCTCTGTTACACTTGCCTTGCCTGGTCAAAACACTGAAAAAGCTACAACTGCAAATTGCTTTTGATTACATTCCCACTGGTTTCTAATTATCTCAGTGTGACTTTGCATTCTTCTAATTGCCCAAAACAGAGCACTTTTCACTTTACCTATTGGGAAATTGACTTATAACAGCAGTAATAGTATTTGAGTTTCATAGGCACAGTTCGTTTAAAATGTTCACAATAAAACTGACATGTAGCTGCGGTTGTTGTTCATCAGCCACAGTCTCACTGATAATTAATAACTAGCAGTTCTTGTAATCTAGGCTTAATATTCTTTTAGCAAGGGTAACATCCTGCGGTGTTTGAAACAGCAGTCTTAAAAATGGTCTTGCTTCAAATCCCTCCTGGTCACAGGTCTGTGAGATATAATACTGACCTCCCTCCTCCCTCCCATTCAAAGTTGTTCCTCCAAGTTTTGAGCCTCAGGTCTTGTATTGCTAGCAACTTTGATATGGGGAGGAGGGGGAATCACAAGCACAAGATCATAGATGTTTATGCCAAAATATGATACAGTGTCTCAAGTACTTCTGCAACTGGTTGTCTCATTTAAGTATTACTTCAAAAAGCAATTTCCACGTCTCAAATTCCCAAAACAAAGACTATAGCGACATATAGACTGGCACTTGCTTTTCCCAGCGGATACATCATTAGGGAGCTTAAGCAACAACGACGGCGACGGCTACAAAAACGTCACTTAAAAAGTGAATTTGCACCGCTTCAAACTTTATCGCGCTTATTCCATCTCGTTTACTTCGTCAAATATTGGCAAATGTTTTTGGAGTTGAATTCTAAAGGACTGTGTCAAAGTTCAGGAAAAGAAAAGAAAGTTGTTGTGTTGTGTTCCCGTCCTCGACAAAACGTGAATTCAGGCAC